TTTTTTTTTTCTACTATTTTCTACTATTTTCAAACTTTACTGCCAAAACTATCGATACTCGGGCTGCAGCAGTTGCTGCTGCTGTTGCTATTATTGTTGTTGGGCTCTTCCGGTTTAGTTGGGAGTTCGACCTTTTTTGGCCATTTTCAGTTTGACTGAAACTATTCATTCGAGTCAAGCAAATGCACCCCGGAGGGCATTTTCGTTCTGTTATTTGTGTATTTGACATTTTGCTTAAGTGTTGCTGACTTTTGGTCAGTTTCTGTTTCTTTCTTTTTCCCAGCCCAGCCCCGCCTCGTCCCGCCCCAGCCACCGCCATTTGGCTGACCCAAGGCAATTGTTGTTGGCCTGTGTTTGCTCGCCGTTTGTTTGTGCAACGCTTCGCCTGGTGGCTGTGGAGGGGGAGGCAGGGGTACGGCAGTTAGGTCTGAGGCTCTTAATTAAAGTTTGCTCAAGTCTTTTTGTTGGGGCCTCGGCCTCTGTGTGCGTATAATGAACCATTTGTTTGCTGATTTAGCTCATGGATTTTTGGTTAGTTTTTAGTATGCTTATAGCATTTCGATTGCTCAATACAAGCTGTAATTTAACTTTGAAGTTCTTGGCCAAACTGCAATCGAGCAATCGAGCAACGAGCCAGAAGGGTTACACATTATCAACTGCTTAACTGCTTAACAACTCGAAGGCTGCTGGAGCTGAAAGAGAGAAATAGCTGAGGTAGTGATACGAGTCCATAAAGACTTGAAGCACTACTCAAACTGAGCTTAATTAACTATTGAGTGAATCAATTCGTAGAGAGACGATCGGCGGCTCTCAAGAAACAATGTGGAAGTTCTGGGAATCTGTATTCGGAATCGGATTATAAGTTTCTATTAGGCATGAAAATTTATTATTTGTGTATTCATAGAAGTCAAGAGTCCATGAAGCTAAAGTTCAATATGGGAATAAGTTCAATAAAGAGAAACAGAGAGCTTCAAATCCAAATGCTTGTTGAGGTCTTTTTATCACTCTTCAGGGCTGACAATATTCGACGGATCCATGTTTTCTTTTTTCCAAATTCAATCAAAGAAAAAAATAAGTATGAAAGCTCTAGACGATACTGCTCGACTACGAGATCCCCTGAACCCTTCAAGCAAGTGATATATCAATAAATCTTAGGTTCTTCCTGCTTATTCAACGTAACTATTACACCCTGTTTTCCCATTTCCAATGGGTTCAGAGTATAAACATTTATTTGATACTGACGATAATGATCATTTGATTTATTTCAAGTAGATTTGTTGCTATCACTTTTAAAATATGATATCTAAAATGGCTGCCTGGAGCCTGTATGGTGTCTTGTGTCCGTTCCTGTCAAAAGATATAAGGTTGCGATATAGGTCCGTCGAATATGGATAGCCCTACATACATACATATCTACAAAGCTGATTTACTACAGCATGCAATGCTGTTTCTGGAATAGATCTTAGGACAGAGTATTGTATAGTCAGTATTGCATTTGTCAATATCGTTCGACCGACAGTCTTTTAAGGCTTCTTTAACAAATTGAATTTCCTTGTTTTAGTAGATTTTGTCTAAAACAGCAAAAGGGAGAACAAAGCAGAGGATTGTATAGGCACTCGCGCTCATGGATAATAAGCTAACATCATTAACTATATGCCAAAAGTCCGTCCAACTGTCTGCCAAAAAATCTCCCTCTAATACATTTCAGTTTCTCTCTGAGAGAGAGTATTCTTGAGTCAGTAGCACCCTTATTGTGGACAGTGCTTGCATCCGTCTAGCTGGAAATGCATTCCAGAGCTGTTCATCTATACCCCTACAAAAAAAAAAAGGAGATATACAGAGTATTATAGAGTCAGTAACACCTCCGGTTGCTAGATAATAATTATACACATATAAATTACATCTTAGTACAAAGTATTGAGCAGTCAGCTATACCCTATATTTATCCATATATGCTTGCATCCGTCAAGGTATTTCTAATACAGAATCGAGAGCTGTTTCTCTATTCCCGCTATAAGAGAGGAAATGCAGAGTATTGTAGAGTCAGTAACACCCGCCTGTGTTAGATAATAAGTATGCCCATATAAATACATATGTATTTGCCTAAAGTCCGCCCATATGCCTTTATAACTCCCTTCAACAGCTTTCACTGTTCCGTCTCTCCCACAAAAACAAAACAAAAAAACAAAAAAACAGAGTATCATGCCAGTCAGTTACACCCCATATCCAGCCACTCTCAGTAGCCGCCAACAATGGAGGCTCACGTAGCTGAATCACTTAACTCGATTCCATATTGTTAGCCAGAGAGCAACAACAATTCGCTGATGGGCGATGCCCGTGGACGACAATGCTGATGGCACAATGGGGACGGGCCAGGAGCGGACACGAACTCTAAATAATTTGCAGTTATTTGGGGCAAACACGCAAATGCGTTCAAATCAATTGTCCAATTGAGCCGGACCGATTTCGTTCCATAATAAAAAAATAAAAAAAAATAAAAGGAAAGCAGAGAAAAAAATGAGTTCAAATTGAAAGGAAGGAACACAGCGTGCAGAGCATCGCAAATGAGAATCGGGAATTGTGAAAGCGTGTGCGTGTGCGTGTGTGTGTGTGTGTCGCTGTGTGGTTGAAGCGTTTTAGTTTCACTTTCACTTTTTGCTGCAACTTTCGCTCGCACTTCGAACCCCTCAACCGGTTTCCGTGCCCCCCTCAGCCGCTGCTGGCCGCTTTGCCCGCCCAGCCACGCCCACTGGCCGCAATTAGGGTGGCTCATTGTTTGGCCGTGGTGTTTGGTCAACTTGTGGCACGTGTCCTAATTTTGATTTCTTTGCCTCCTTTGGCCGAGCTTCTTTTTCTCGGCTGCTCTTTTGCTGCCCATAAATAAATTGTTGCATACTTCAGGGCGGCTGGAGCTGTTTTTTCTCTCCCTTCTCCTTCATCTTCTGCAGCTCTCGATAGCTGCTTTTTTATTTTCTTTTCTTGTTGGGAGCGTGGTCGATGTCATTTGTAAATGGCATGTTATCAATTTTCAAGATGATTGAATCAAGTGATTTGTGTGCGTGTCAAACTGCACGAACCCCACACACACTCTCTTTCTCTCTCCCTCTCCACCTCTCACTTTCACTTGCGCTTGACTTGCTTATGTGAGATATTTGCAGCAGTTCGTCCACGTGTCCAGCTGTGGCCACTTTGAAGTTCAGCCAGTTTGTTAGCTTTTGGGCTTCTCTGCTGGCTAGCAATATGAAAGGACTCGACTCGACTCGACTCGACTCGTCGCAAGGATTTGTGCTTCACGTTGTTTGCCCGACCGTCTTGGCTGCTGCTTATTAAGAGATTATCAATTTCTTTGATGCGCTAATACACTGTACAAACATGTTCCATCTCCCGCTCTCTCCCGCTCTCTCACACACACACACTCCCGCTTCTTGTCTGTGTGCTCAAGATGATATCGAAATTGCGTTTGGACAATGCTTAAGCACATGTAAACGACTCACGTTATTTGATATATATATTTGATAAGCAGCCGAGGTGAGCTCGCAATGGGATATGGAAGGCCTGGATGCATATGAGAGCACGACTACGCCATACCCTTGCCAATATGTAATCGGGCAGTTCTGTTAATGCAAATTAAATAAAAAGCTTTGCTTTCTATTTTTAAACAAAATATTTTTCATTCAATTTTTGTAAGTTTACAAAATAATTTAATTATTATTATTATAAAAATATTAAAGTCCTAAAAAAATATTTTTTAATGTTAAATAATTAAATAAAAATGTAAAAAATAAATAAAACAAAAACTAATAGTAATAAAATATGACAAAATTCAAAAGTAAAAAAAAACTTAACTTAACAACTCCAAATTAGTCAGAAATATATGTACATAAATAACCATAAATATCTCCATATATAATATTAATATTAATATAGCTTTTAAGTAGATAAATTATTGTAATTCTGTTTAGATTAAGTTATCAATAAGGTAGCGGTGCGCTAAGCTGTAAATAAATATATTTTATAATTTCTCTTAAAAGAAAATACAAAAAAAAAAAATAAATAAATAAAATATAACAAAATTCAAAAGTAAATAAAAACAAGAAAGAAAGCTCTAGTCGAGACTGCTCGACTACGAGATCCCCTGAACCCTACAAGCAACTGATATTTCAATAATAATTAGAAAACACACACGCACACACACACA